TAAGAACATAATTAATATTAATTTGGTTGTATAGATTTTAAAGAAGATAAACCCCAGTGATGGAAAACAGTATTTATCATACATTTGCAGTGCATCTTGAATGTGGACAAGGGAAAAATCTCAGCTCTTACTTTGACATTCTGTTATATATTAGCTGAAAAATATAGTCATAAATGATAATATTTTTATAACATTTGCCTGTGACTCAGTAGTTATCCCGAGAGCTTTCTGGGTGCTTTGTTACTAGTTTTATGAAAGAGGAAATTGAAAACCTGTTATGGGCTCAAGATCACGTAGCAAGACAATGACACATTGTCAGTGACATATCTTAATAGTCATACCCAATTGACCTATACCCAATTGACTAGTTGATATTTTTTCAGATACTAATTTCTCTTCTTTAGATCTATATAAATTCAAGAAGTAGTTTAATTTTTGCTTAAAAATGAATGTTTATTATTTATAAATAATAAGTTATCTGATATTTTTTCCCCCTGTCAACCTTAATAGTTCATATAAAGTAAGGAACTTTTAAGAAATTCTTTCTGGCACAGCGAGCATAAATAAGCTCCATGAGAGCAGGAACCTTCGTTTTATTGTCTCAAGTGCCTAATGTCTGGCACATAGTTAGGTATACAGTAAATATTTGCATAGAACTTTACTGAATTTATAAACAGTTTAATTCATTATCGATTTGAAATATTTAAGTATTTAAGTGTTAAGTTTGGATGTAGGGAGATTTTTTGTTCTTTGGAGAAAGATTTTAGTATGAGGAGAGCATTTACTGTGAACCTATCCACTAGTTTGGTAAGGTGGTTTGACATTTGGACAGCTAGTTACCAGTGCAGTGCATGCTGACCATTGTGGAGAAGGAAAGTATGAAAAAATTGCTATTAAAGTAACAAGTGCTAATTCATATTGTAAACTAACTTGCTAAATATAAATTTGATCAATTGGAATGCAAAATACTTTAAAGAACTATGGTTTTATTAGTTTGAGGGAATTATAATTTGACATAGGTTAATAAAGGAGATGTGCTTTAAAATAAATAGGTAATGATGTTTTATGTGCATGTCAAAGCATAAGCCAAAACAATTAGTTTTAGCTTGAGTCACAGTTACAGTTTTTACACATAAAGTGCTTAGCTGCTTTTTTAATTAAATATTTTCACCTCTTATTTGCTGTCACTTACTGGAATGATTACAAATTATAACAAAGAAATATGTGAGATTCTGAATTTCATTTATAATAGAAACTAATTGCTTGAGTATTAGAGAGGAAGTGGAGATCAATATTTGATATGTAAGAAAATGAAGGAATGAGATAAGAAATTACTTAGGAGGAAAAAGACATTTAGGTATTTCTTCTTGTATTCAACAGTATTTATTGATAGCTTACTGTGCTAGAGGCTGGGATATAAAAGTGAAAAAAGTAGACAAAGTTCTAGACCTTATGTAGCTTACATTGTAGGTAGGAAACCCACTTTCAAATAGCAAAATATGTCAAATAGTGATAAAATGCCTCTAATTAGGTTGAACATTCTTTTTCCATGGCATTTTACATTTTTCAAAATAACTATTAAGATACAATTCACATAGCATGACATTCATCCTTTTAAAATGTATAATTTAGAGGTTTTTGTTATATTGAATTGTGCAAACATCACCAATATTCTAATGGTTTTAGCAGGGTTCTCTTTGTCTCTTTTCTAGATCTTTTTCTTAAAAATGACTTCTTTTGGTATTGTGTCCTGCCTATTAAGCTCCACTAATTACCAGCTGATTGTTCTGTGTTTTGATACTGTGCCCCAAGGCATAAATTGTTCATAGGTCTGATATTAAATTTTGGTAGGGATAATTTTTGAAGTCAAAACAAGCCTCTTTAAGGATTGTTCTAACTGCTGGTAGGCTCTTCTTAACTGTCTTTTTCTCTGGTTCTTTCTGATGAACTAGATGACCCATGATTTAGCTTGTTGTTCTTAATTAAATTAAGAGGAGTTATTGTTTTTGAGGGCACCCTTAGGCTTGAACTTCCTCACATTATGTTTCAGATAGTTACTTTGGGGAGAGCTTCAGAGCTCTCTTTTCTTATACTTTGCCTCTTCTTCAGGATAAACTCTTTGAGCCACTGTTCTAGGCACAGGCTGGGGCAGTTGCCGCTAGCTTGCTTTTTCTTTTTCTTTTTTTTCCTTTAAAATTTTTATTTTATTTATTTATTTATTTTAGGCGAGGCAACCCTTGGTCGACCTCACAGATTGCAAAGACCCGGTCAGTTTACAATCCTTTATTTTTTAAAAATTTTTTACACCTACAGCAGGTGGTCTTCCTAGGTGGTCTCCTCCATCCAGGTACTAACCAGGCCTGACCTTGCTTAGCTTCCGAGATCGGATAGGATCGGGCTTGTTCAGGGTAGCATGGCTGTAGACTAGCTTGCTTTTTCTGGTGTCCTATCACTGAACTGGGGTGAGGGCATTTGGGACCCCAGTATATCAGCCTATTGCGATGTGATGAAGCTTTTGTTTTATAGATGGAGGCTAAGGGAGCCTCTGCTTTTTGTTTTATAGGTGGGATAAGGGAGCCTCTGCTTTCTTAGCCACACTACCAGGAATTTAGCCTCTTTATCTTGAAGTTGGAGAGATCGAGAAATGCTGATGACCTACTTTTCTCTGTGGCATACAGTAAGCCTTGATTAAGAGTTGAGAGAGACTTCCATTCCCTAGGCCACACCTACCTGCAGGGGAGCTTCTGTCAACCTGAGTTGGGGCAAGCTAGGAAATGGGCTATGGCTCAAATGCCACAAACTGTCCCAATACCAAATTTTAGTAGATTTTGTTGAATAATGTTTCTTTATTTGGATATGCCCTTAGGACAATTTTCAGAGACTTTAAATGGTTGTTTTTTTAAATAGTTTTGTCAGTTTTGCTTGTTTCACTGTAGAGTGGATCTGTGAAGCAGCTTTTCCTATCATCCTGGAAGTGCAATTCTCCAAATTACTTAATTCTGAATATTCCTAAGGTTCAAAGGTGTCTTTCCAGTAAGAAAATTACCATCCTAGGTAACTGAGGGTTCCCCCTCCCCAGATGAACAGATAGTTTGGTCATACATGAAACTCAGAGCTAGCAGTATTCAGAGCAGTTCTTTGCACTATCCTGTCATACTAAGGACTTTTATGATCACTACATATGTTGTGAGCTAAAGATATTATTTTCAGGGTTTACTTACCTAGTTTTCTGCTACCCACAGAAGTCTGCAGCTTCCACTCAGCTTGTTTCCTTTGTCAAATTTTGCAGTTCTTTGGTTCTGTTGACATGTGGCTATTTCTTGCTTAGTGCATTGATTTTTTTTTTTTGCCTTCTTTTATATTCTTAGAATCATGCAATTTATAGATATTAAAGTCTAAATTCTGAATTTTTTTAAATGTCTTCATCTGATCTTAAATTACGTTTTATAAAAATAATTTTACTGACATCTGATCATGCATTTCAGTCATATACAGAGTTTCATATTAAAAAAAGGCCAAAACTTAAAATTTTAGAATTTGAGTGTACCTCATCCTCCTTATTATACTGAATGAGGAATCCTTTCCAATTTCAGCCCATGATCTCTTTGTCAGTACATCTCGTTCCATCAATCAGTGTGTGCTCTTCTCTGTTTACTTGTATTTATTCCTCTTGTGACCAATGAATGACTCTCCCTAACACTCCTGAGAGGGAGTCCAGTGTAGGGCAGCGTAATGTCACCGAATCATTTCAGATGTCACTGGAAAATGAGTGCGTTGGTTTTCTTTGGGTCAGTCATTTGCTCTAGGTTTGGTGGAGGAGAGGGGAGTGGAGTCATGTTGTACAACACATTTCTACCTCTTCCTAAGATGTTATCTAGTGAATTTCTTCAGCAGAAGCATAGATTTGATAGTTTCTTGCAGAGTGAGGTGGTAAATATAATTGAACCAATTTACTCACTCCATGGTTTATTTATATAAGCATTTCTTACCTCAGGCTATAACTGCATATGTAAAATTGAAGGACTTGATAGCAGTCAGTTTTGTAGTAGTAAGTATGCTGTTGGGAATTCCCTTTAATGTAACATTCACTTGTATACCATTGTAATGGCATATAACGTTTGCCTGTAATAGTGACCTGTTGTGAAAATTTACTCCCATATATACTATATCTGGCTGCTTGATAAATTTCCTGTTACAAATACACATATCAAATATAGGATTTAACGGTAAAGTTCAGGACATACAAGAAACTGGTCATTGGTTGCCTCTAGGGAAAAGAGTGCCCTACGTTGGAGTACTGAGATGGGAAGTATACCTTTTTATTCCGTCTGAATTTTGTAATGAACATAAGTGTTACTGGAACAATAGTAAAACACTGAAAAGGAAGTAAAACAAAAACAACAGTAAACAATAACAAAAGGGAAAAAGGCAGATACTCTGTGGATAAGGCAGATACTCTGTGGATATAATTCTAGCCAAATATAATTTGATGGCCCCTATTTGGGTTTCTTCTCTCAATTGGTAAGCTCTCCATATTGCTCGATGGCTAGGTTTGATTAGAACTCTCTTCTAGGTGGCAATTATATTCTAATATTTTATCATTATCTTGTTTCCTTCAGCTTCGGAGGATTTTACAAAAGTTGCCCGGTTTCTCTTTGACATAAGATATGTTCTTGATTTGGAATGCAAGTTAGTAGGAGTGTTGCTTGCTTCATGAATAAAAAGATCATGGTGGTGACTTATGAGTATTCTTCCACTAAAGATAACTAAGACAAGATTATTTGCGATACTTTGATCTACATAGATGGTAAAGAATTTACTTGAATCTTTTTCCAAATTCTCATATGTAAAGTCTGAGTGATTAAATTCATACTTGGTGTTTCATTTGAAAAGAATGCAGCTTTAGCAAATCTCTTTATATAATGATGTTGGATTATGTTCAAGTTTTAGGTTATTGTCATATCATTATATTTTAAACATTTACAGACATTCTTTTTCTTTCTGCTCTTTAGCCGACCTCAGAAAGTGTGTTTGTGTCCATTTCTACCAGTGTATCCTCTACATGTCTCTACCCACTTGTACATAATTCAGCATCCAGCAGAGGTGAGTAAAATTTTTGTAAAGTACACAATTTCAAACGGAATATTAGTATACAAGAGGAAACACATAGATGAACATACTCATCCCTCTCAGCTCTTTAGCATTTCTGAAAATAAATTGATGGTAAATGCTTTCTCTTTTACATAATATATGATAGTATAGTATCATATGCTTTGGAGAGACATAAAAACTATATTATTTCATAAAATGGTGTTATTTCATAAAAAACTGTGTTGTTGAATAGTGTAGAAATTTATAACTCCAACAATTTGTCTGAAGAAAAACTGAGATTTTTGTGAGTAAAGAACTAAGAAATCATTGCTTTTAAAATTTTAATTATAGCTTACGTTCATTAATGTCTTGTTAAAACAGAAGTAGCTCAGTATTTTAGTGTTATAAAATGAATATATAAATTTTTTTTGTCTTTTAAATGAATAGAACAAATATGTATATTTTATAGTATATATGTTGTATAGAAAGAGTTTTTAATTAATACTGTCCTATATTAGTGACAGTTACGCATGTGTAGGTATGTATGTGTGTTTATAACTCTTGATTTAGTAATGAAGAGGGGAGTGAAGGAAGTCATAGAGAACCACAAATTATAATTAAAACAGAACTAGTCAGTGCATAGTACAAAATGGGTTCAGTGTAAACTGAAGTTAAAACTATTCCAGCATTTAGGCACTTAGGACATCTTAGATTGAATGAGGTTTTTGAAGAAAGACTAATTTTTTTTAAACTTTCTGAAGCCTATACCGCTTGAAGACTTCAACAAAGATGTAAAAGGTATTAATCTGTTTTTCTTCTTTTTCAAATGATGAAACACTTATTATTTTATTACAAATTGTTAACTATTTCATTTGTTGGGCACTCTTTCTTTTCAATGTTAACAACAACATGCTTTGGTCAGGATTATGACAGTTTGGTCACTAGCATTATTCTATTGCATTTAAACTGACAACACTGTGCAGCTCAGATTTGCATAAAATGATAGTTTACTGGCCATAACAGTTTTGTCTAAAACTCAACTTTGGATGGTGAATGCTCTTTTCATTTTGTGGTATACATGGCATGGTGCCTTTTTTTTTATTGTGTGCCTCCAGACATAAGATAGCTTTTAAAATATAGGTGTTTCATTTGATTTTTGGCAGTTTTAATGTCAAATCCTTCCTTTCTTCCATTCATCCATCCATGGTTAATTCACAATTTAGGTGATCAGTTTATAATAGTGTATGATACAGTTATATTTTATGTATATACAAGTATGTCCATTTTGTTTTTCCTTATCACCCAAGGAATTTTCCAATCTTAATCTAGCTCAGTAATACTGAGCTGCCTTGTTCTTAATCTCAGTACACTGTTTTCAATAACAGACTATGCTGATTTGATGACTGCCTCTAAAAAGTAATTGAGAACTATTTGGATAGGCTCTAGGAGGTGACTTTGGAAAAAGAAAACTTGATGGAATGGATGATGTGGTGGCGATATGATGGAACATTTCAAAGAGTAGTTATATGTATGTAGAAAATTCCTTAAAGATGAAAACAAACCAGTTATCTCAAAAATAACAAAAAACTTTACAAGGAAGGTTATGTTAAACAATATATATGTAGCCATTATGAGGTAAACACTGTTTATTGATTTAACTAAAAATATTAGAAGATGTGAGGGTAAGGAGTGATGTAAGAAAGCTGAATCCTCATTTATTATGAGAGGCTGTGTCTATAAAGTACAGTAGTTAAGAGTAAAGGCTCAGAAGCCAGATTGCTTGAGTTTAAATCCTTAATGGCTCTGTAAACTCTAACTCTGGGCAAGTTAAATTCTCTGTGCTTCACTTTCATCCTTAGTAAAATGGATATGATAAAAGGTACTTCTTTACTGGTTTATTGTGAATAGTAAATTTATCTGTCTACCTGCCTGCCTTTCCATCCATCCATCCATCCATCTATCCATCCATCCATCTATCATCTATCTAGAACATACTTTGAATTATGTACGTTTAAAGTTAGTTATTATGGTGATAATAAATGGTAGTTTGTAGACAGTATTTAAAATCGATAAATAGCAAAACACATATTTAGAAATACGAAAATAACTATCAAAAGATACAGATAAAAGAGTTAGAATGATTGCTTCTGATAAGTGGTATAGGAGGAAGTATCTGGGAACATCATACACTTTTGTGTAAAAAACAAAACAAAACATATATCCATGTGTTACTTTGATAAAAGTTTGGAAAGCTATTTAAGTATGTGTCAAAGTCTCATGGTGATGGTCAAGAAAGAAGAAAACAGTATGAAACATTGTAAAATGTCCTAAAACTCCTTTCTTACCTGTCTCCTCCTAGTCGCATTTATATATTAGCTGCTCCAAATCATTATTTTCAGGTTCTCTCAGTGCCTCAGCTTGCTGTATGTTCAAAGTTGAAATTTTAGCAAATTCTTACTCTTCTATTTTCTTTTCCAACTTTTCATTAGAAAGGTCAATTTAACTACTCTCAGCATCTTTAAATTTATTTTTTCCATATTATTTTAATCAACACTTCAGGGACTCAAAAGCAAAAGAAGTAAACACAGAAATATCCCTAAATAATGGTGTGTGTGTATGTGTTTGTGATGTTTGAATACTGTTAGTATAATTTTTTTCTGTTATAAACATAGTGTAATTATAAATTTATTTTTAATCTAGTAAGTTCATATGTAACATTATTGTTTTGTATATTAATTTGCTAAGGAACTGATACTTCTAAAGGAAAGTAATATTGATATTCATTAAAGACTTTGTCATTTTTCTGCAGACACAAAAAATAGTCAAATTATCACTATGAGTATATATATGAGCAGGATTATATAAATTGATAAAGATAACATTGGACTGTGTATAGGTAAACTGATTAGAGAGGGGCTCTATTACTTATTTGATCAAGAAAGACATTCCCAGCAGAGAAGAGCCAGGGTGAGCCCTGTAGACCAAAATAACCAAGAAAAATGTGAGGCTAATGCAGAATAGCTAATCACCTGGCTCTACTGAGATTAAGGATAGAATTCTTGTGACAATAAGAAAAGTCGTTTTTAGTGTTGGAAGATAGAGCATTGAAAAAACCACTTATGATAGTTAATGGAATTTACAGAAATGGTCACCAGATTTTTTCACTCTAAAGTTTTTATGTTTTTCCGTTTCCATGCTGTTTATTCTTTGGTAGTAAGGACGTAAATCCAGCCCACACTCAATGTCAGGAAGAGATTAAGCTCCATCTCCTGGAGTGAGGAGTATTTACATTTATTACTTGGAATTCTTCTATAGAGAAGATTTGTCTCTTCCTTCCCATTTATTTATTCAGTCATTTATTTATATCAATCTGGACTCTATATTTTATACTTTGGGTTATAATCCAAGTACTCTTACTTATTTTGTTGCTCAGGTTGTTCCAGTTTGGCCATTGGGAGCTCTTTAAGATTGACTTCTGTGTTCCTTTGATGTGTCCCATGTTTTGTTTTTTTGAACACTTCTTTGCTTTCCGGGCATAAAGATCTAGGCACTTTTCTTCAAGTTGACATACTACAAAATGTAATTACTATTGAAATAAAGAGTTGATTAGAATAAATGATTTCAATTTAATTAAACACAAATTTACTTTTTTCATAATCTTAACCATTATTTAATGTTATCTTATTTGATCTCTAAACCTCTAAACATACCCAAATAGGATAAAAATATACACTTGTATTATTTAATATTGATAAATTAGAGAAACTATAGTCTTTTTATTAAATTGTGTTCTGTAGTAAAATTTTATATAATGTTATAAATCAGATATTCATCATAAAGTTTTAAAAAGTATGTCTAATTAAAAGCCTACATTTTAATTATTTTTTTAATTAAAGGAAAACAAAGTGTTGCGGACAGTTCCTTTACTAACAGCATGCCTACCCCAGGACAAATGTAAAGTGAAAATTGGTCGTCGCTTCAGTGAAGAAAGGTAAATTAACTTTTAGGGCAATTTAAAATAATTTTCTTCTACATAGATCTTTAAAAATGGTTTCCTTCAACTTATTCATTAGACCTAGAACATGGTATATTGGAAGTGGTCAACACATTCAGTTTCTGCCTTCTCTCAAAATAATAAAAGACAAAGCAAAACAAAAAAAAACACCCTGCCCTCAAAACAGGCCAAAATGGAATAAACAAAGGAATGATAGCATTATCTGAATCCCATATTAATATATTATTGGGCCTAAAAGGTATATATATTTACTGTGTATTTCATTTTAGTCCAAGATGGTAGGGTGCTTGTAGTCGATTTAGTTCAGTTTTCTTTTCTTTTTTAATAATTACATATGTCGTACATTTATATAAATAAACATCTATCCATTTCTAGCCCATTAAGGCTTTCCTAAGGTAGTGACTAAAGAACTATATTTAGTATTCTAGTTATAGGCATCTCATATATATGTCTTCTCCTGTTGTATTCTTTTTGATGAGGTCTAGTGTTTTTATGTGCAGTGGCCCATTAGTTGATATCTTCACTGACAGTTCTGTGATATTCTTGGATCTTATTTCACATTAAGATCTTATTTCACCCATTTTCATAAAAATATATACTGTATATACATTTACATTTTCTACAAGTCTTTTCTTACCTTTGAAGCATATTTGTTGCTTTTCTGCCCATTCACAAAGTCTTCACAAATTACTTTGATTTTGTCTGCACAGTTAAATATATTTTTAGATGCAAAATTTAAATTCTTTTGAAAATATGGAAATTTATTTTTCAGTTCTCTTATGAACATTCTAGACCAGTACTAGCACCAAGCCTAGGGAAATGAGCAAACATTTTCCTTCCTTTATTATTTTAGCTTCCTTTATTATTTAGCTTCATATTATGAAAATAAAATCATGTTAGAGCTTTATATAATCTTTTTTATTTTCCTTCTCTGATGAAACTGTTGGCTAGGCACACTTTTCTCATATAGAATTTTATGTTTCAAATTTTGCATTACCTTGCCCTCTCAGAGGAGAGATTTGCTTAGCGTTTGGTGCTGCTGTTAGGAATTTTGCCATTTGGTTGAGGAATAGAAGTGAGATCCAGAGCTCTGCTCATGGGGAGCAGCCACATCATTTACACGGTGACCCTTTTTTCACACAGACGCTCTTTATTATGATAGTTTCTCTATAATTCTTGGGTGGATGCATATGTACAAGTGGATCCACTTGATCTGCCAGCTTGATCTAGGTTATTTTGTTGCAAAGTGATGAGCATCTGTGGTGATAGAAATGGAAACTATCTAGGTCATTCCTGATATTTGGCCATCTAACCCCATCCATGAATGTGCTTGGGGATGACAAGCTTGACACTTGCCAAATAGTCCACCCACTTTGAGTCTATTATATTAAGTAGTTTAGTTTTTTTGCCTGATATAGTCCTTACTCAGTAAATTATTATTCACTGATAGATTTTAAACTAAAGCTGATTATGATTATTAATTTAATATTAATCTTATAATTGAATGATTAAGCTAGGCTTTTGTTAGAGTATATGATGTAACCATGGGGTAATGATTACAAGACATTACTTTTAGTATCCTTTGTAAATGGAATTTAAATACTTACAGTTTTTTGCCTCTAGTATATAAGAAAACAATTGGGTTTTGCATATCAACCCTGTATCCATTGACTTTCTAAATTCATATGTTAGCTTTATAAATTGTTTTTTAGATTCTCTAGGACTTTCTGGGTAGGTAGCATTATCCAGTCGAATAGGGTCATTTATATATCTTCTTTTCTGATCTTTATGTATTTTATTTCTTTTTCTTGTCTTATTGCAATAATTGAGACCTTTAGTACATTGTGTATTAGGAGTGGTGAAAGCCAACGTCTCTGCCTTGATCCACATCTCAAGGAACATTGTTAAATATGATATTACCTGTACATTTTTGTAGATGCTATTTATTGGTTTGAAGAAGATGCCATTTATTGTTTTTAATTGATGCTTTAACTTGTCTCTTTCCCCCTCAAGGTTTTGTTTCCTGCAGATAGGGGCCATCTCATTTTATTACACCTCTAGTGCTGAAATGCTTTAACATGTATTTTTGAATGAAATTCACTAAGAGTAATAAAACTTTTTGTTCCCACACAAGCTAATAAAGATTTTTTTAAAAAATACTTTTAGAGATCCTGAACTTTCAACTGTTTGTCGGAAGTCTGGTACATTAATATTATATCCAGGGGATGAAGCTGCTAATTTAGAAGAATTTATATTAGATTCTCCTATATATCCTTCTACAATCATCATCATTGATGGTACATGGAGCCAGGCTAAGGACATTTTCTATAAGAATTCCTTGTTCAGACTGCCCAAACAGGTAAACTAATATTTTAACATAGTAGAATAAATACAAATGTATAATTATGTTGTATATGTTGTCTGTGAGGGGATACACATACATTTTATATATGAATTTGATGGTATTTACATATGTGAATGTATACATAGATGTGTATATGTTTATGTGTGTGTATGTGTTTGAGATATATGTATAGAAAATTTTAAATTTGTCTTTCTCAGTTCCCACTGTCAAACTTCACCATAGTTTCGACATTTTACTATATTAAGGGTTTCTCAGACATTTAATCAGAGAAGTCTAAGGATTAATTATTTCTATGAGTATTAATTTTTCATTAAGAAGTGTTATGTTTAAAAATTTTCATTTGGTAACTAAATTACCTTGTTTTTATTAGGAATGACTGAATTTTTATGAAATACTTTTTTGTGATTCATTATTATAACCATATGGTTTATCCTTCAATTTATTGATGTAATTAATGATGATGATACATTTCCTAGTACTAAACCATTCTTGTGTTCCTGGAATGAACTTGGTCATATTATCCTTTTGATATATTGCTGACGCTTATATTTTGTTTAGTGGTGTTGAATTATAATTTATATAATTTTTTTACTTTTAGTATCAGGCTTGGGTACTAAGATAATGTTAACTTCGCCAAATAAATAGGAAAGATTTTAACATTTTTCTATGGCCTGGAATAGTTTAAATAATATTAAAATTCCTTGCTCCTTAAAAATTAGATGGACTTCATTGGCAAAACCACCTGCCCCTGGTCTCTTTAAAAATGGTAACTTTTAAATCTTTCTTTCAGACTCTTTTAATGGACATTATTCAAGCTTTCTAATTCTGTTTGGTTCACTTTTTAAGAACTTTTAGTTTTTCTTGGGAATTATTTCTTTCCTCTGAGTTAAATTGATTGCTGTATACTTGGAAATATTTTTACATAATTACTTAAATTTCTTTTGAATGTGTCCTTTCTCCTTTTTAATCATACATAGACACACACATATATTTTTTTTTCCTGTGAACATACCACTCAATAGAAGTTTTTTTATTGTGCTTTTAATACTAATAGCCTTTAGATTATTTTAATGGCTATTATATTTTATTCTTATTTCATTAATTTGAGCTTGTATCTTGATCAATTTCTTTCACTTTTTTCAGCTTTCTTTTTCTGGTTTTGTAACATTCGTACTAAGTACTACCTTCCTTTGTTAAGATTTGTGAGTTTCTTCTTTAATAATAAAGGGAGAGAAGACTGCAGTATTTCTTAGTATAACTTTAATTATATCCCATAGTTTTGGGTTCCTGTGTTCTTATATCTATAGCATCGATATAATTTATAATTTGTTTTGATTTCTTTCTATCCATGGATTATTGAGTTCTTATAACATTTTTGGTCACTTTTATTTTTATTTCTGATTCTGTTAGATTGTGATAAAAGAACATTGCCTGTAATATTTTGAATAATTTTATGATTGTTTATGGATAAGTACCTGTTCTACGATGTAGAAAATTCACATTGTCTATTTGGCGAAGAAAGCGTTTACATTTTTTTAAAGTTTGTTATTTGCATTTTTCTGTATATTTTTATTTTTGGCATACTTGGGCTATTTGATGCCGCAAAAGGTATATTAAAAGCTTCTGTTTATGTATTTTTAATGAAGTTATCCCTGCATTTCCAATAGTTTTGTGTTGTATATTTATCTGCTTTGTTTTTTGGTGAATATAAGCCATGCACTTAGTGAAAAATAATAGTGAACCTTGATTCTGAAATTTAAAACTCAGTTCTTTGTAGTTTAATTCCCTTTGACTGAAATGCAGTCATGGTTTTCAGATGAGACTCAAATATGCAAAACAGCTCTAAAAAGTAGCTAATGTGTTGAGTGCTTTGAATGGGCGAGTCCCAATTCCAAGTGCTTTACATGTGTTAACTTATTTTAATCTTTCACAAATCCCATGAGGTAAGTCTTGTTATTATCTTAGATATGAGGAAACTGAGGCACAGAGATGTTAAATAGTTTGCTTTAGATCACTATTTCACAGCAGAGCTGAGATTTGAACCCATCTGGTTTAGAGCCAAAGCCTATGGTCTTAATCAAAATAAACCCGTTTCTAAAATGGAAAAATTTCATTTAGGATGTTTACATATAGTAGCTTCTGTAGGTTTATCTAACTTCTTAAATAATCCTTGTGTTACTTAAGAACCAGTCCATAAAAGACATGGATACCGTCAGATTGTGGTGCATTCCAGGTAAAATTTTATGTTCACATTGTATTTAAATATTGTCCAATATAAAAAAAAAAGTTTAACTAAAGTGTTATCTCTATAAAATATTTTAGTGTAAATATTTCTATTTTGTTTGGATATACTATGTTTGCATCTCTGATCTTTCATTTTATGTTATCTTCATGACTACCACAGAGATGAAGTACATAGTCACATTAAAAAGATTAAAAGGTATTTTAAAAAATATAATCACCCAAATTATTTTTCTCCTTTAAATTGAGTAGCAGATAGGAAAATAAATAAATTAAATAATTTCCCTAGTCCTTTTATGCCATACATTTTTTTCATCTTTTTTTTGTATTTCCAAATCAGAAGCAAATATAAGTGGATATTTGTTTAACCTTGAAATGGGTATCTTTCAACTATAAAATAAAAAAATGCTTAAAAAAACATCAGATAGGTTAGACTACATGGGGCAGGATAGCGCCATAAACTAAAGTGAAAAGGCAAATGTCTTTCTGGACAACTATGAATCAGATAAAGGCATAATAAGCTTAGAGTTCTTAGAAATGAATAAGGTAAAGTGAAAATCTGAATTAAAAAATGGACCATAGATATGAAAACAAAGTTCACAAAATACAAGTTAATGTAGTTATAAAAATCATCATTTACCCTTGTAATTTTATGTCAACAGATACTAAGTTATAAACATTTATGTTGAAATAGCTTCAAACTTACAGAAAGATTTCAAGAATAATATAATACACAGGTTCCTCAGATATCCTCAAGTGTTAATATTATGTCATTTGCATTATCAGTGTCTTTCTCTCCCTCTCTCTTTTTCTGCACTTTTTGAGAGTAAGGAATAGATATCAAAATTTTACTTTTTAAAATGGAAATTTTACTAGGTCTAGCCTTTCAGGATCTTCTTTTCCTAAATACTTTTTGCCTGAAGTTAAAAAATATATACATAGTAATTTAAAACCAAACAATTTATAAAAACTCATGTATATCTCGAGACAGTTTCATCTTCGTATACTTGGGAGGTACAGATAACCTTAGAAATAATTATAAGTATGGCTTTTAGAGTATCATACAATATCCAACCCAAGTATGAATATGGCTTGGTTAGATAAAATATGTTTCTAGAAGTCGTTGCAAAAAAAAACAATGAAATTTGTATATTTACTCCTTTTAAAAAGGTGTGTGTGTGTGTGTGTGTCTGTGTGTGTGTGTGTGTGTGTGTGTGTGTGAGTGTGTGTGAGAGAGAGAGAGAGAGAGAGATAAGTTAGGTCGAAAAGGATTGATTTTTATTTTGTTATTTATTTATTTTATTATTTTTATTTTTAAAAATTTATTTAAGTTAGTTTCAAGTATACAGTACATTGGTTAGATATCTATAGACATATCTTTAGACATCTATAAAATAATAAAATTATTGATAATTATAGTTTTGACTACCTTCTACAAAACTAAAAAGATTTGCTTATTTTTAATATCTTTTTGACTTTTTGAAAGATTTCCCATTTATATGTAATAATTTTTAGTTAATTAGTAACCCTATTCCTCAACTTTTCTAGAAAAAAGTTATTATATAATAGACTTTTCTAGAGACCTTGCTTTAATAAATGGATATAAATAAGTTATAAATAACATGCCTCTTTCATGTATAATGACAGAAATCCAACTCTATAACTCAAATGAAGAAAGTAGTATATAGTTCATGTAACTGAGAAGCTCAGAATGGATAGGAATAATTTCAGCCTTGGCTGGGTGTGGTTCTCCAGTAGCTCCCTGTTTTGGGGGTTTGCATCACTTTGTATTGATCTAATTTTCTCTTATGATTGGCCTTCCTCTTTGATACGAGAAGATGTCTGTAGGAAGCAGAGATTAGTCTCCTCTTGGTTTTATTTATCTTAGTAGAAAGATGATTTCTCCTTCCTAAAGTAGAATCCTGGATCATCTTATCGTTGGAGTTGGAGTGGATGGTGGTACCATTATTGACAGCAGAACCACGTGAATTAGGAAGTAATTCCTTAGAGGACATGGTCTATTGTTATCAGAAGGATGATTTAAAAGTATGGATGGCTATTTGCGGATGACATGATTCTCTATATAGAAAACCCTAAAGACTCCACAAGAACACTACTAGAAACAATAAGCAAATACAGTAAAGTTTCTGGATACAACATCAATGTTCAAAAATCCATAGTGTTCCTATACTCTAATAATGAAGTGTCAGAAAAAGTGGAAAAAATAATTCCTTTTGCAACAACAACAAAAAATACCTAGGAATAAAATTAACAAAACATGTGAAGGATCTACATAATGAAAACTATAAGACCCTATTAAAAGAAATTGAAGAAGATACAAAGAAATGGAAAGATATTCTGTGTTCTTGGATTGGAAGAATCAACATAGTTAAAATGACATATTACCTAAAGCATTATACAGATTTAATGCAATCCTCATCAAAATCCTACTGGCATTTTTTTAAAAAATGGAACAAAAAATCATCAGATTTGTATGGAAGCACAAAAAATCCCGAATTGTCAAAGCCGTCCCGAGAAAAAAGAACGAGGCTGGAGGCATCACTCTGCCCAACTTCAAATTATAGTGTAAAGCGACAGTAATCAAAATGGCATTGTATTGGCAGCAAAACAGACACACGGACCAGTGGAATAGAATCGAGAGTCCAAAAGTAAACCTATATTTATATGGGCAAATAATTTTCAACAAAAAAGCCAAAAACATACAGTAGAGAAAGGAAAGCCTCTTCAATAAA